CACGCACGCACGCACACACCATCAGGGATGGCGTTGAGTTTCTCCATTGTGTTGTTCAGGCCTTTCTGTAAGTCTTTGTTCTTTTTGTTGGCTCCTTTCAGTCTGAACTGAAGAGCACCCAGATTGTCTCCATTTTCTGAAAAAAGAAAGAACAAAAAGACATGGGAAAAACAATAAGGTTTCTCTCTGGAAGATTTGTGAGAAGCCGCAGGATGGTATTAATTCTACTGAGGACGGAAATCTGATGTGGTTTTTCACCTTTCACGTCATTCTGCAGCTCTTTGGCCTCGTTCCACAGACGGTGACTCTTCTGAACCGAACCCTTGGCCTGGCCTTTCAGAGATCCTTTGGGTCCTGAGGCCTGCAGACAGGACATTATTACACACACATCAGAGCGGGTGCCACTCATGCTTCAGATGACACAAAACCTGCTGCTAAGGACTAGATGGTACTATAGGAAGGAACATGTTTTGAACATTTGTGTTTTATGCAATACATAAATGCAATACAATGCAAGATAAAGGACTGCAATTTTTAAATGTGTATATATGACCCTGGACCACAAAACCATTCATAAGGTTCAATTTTTCTAAATTGAGTTTTATACATCACATGAAAGCTGTATAAATAAGCTTTCTATTGATGTATGGTTTGTTAGGTTAGGACAATATTTGAAATATTTTGAAAATCTGGAATCTGAGGGTGCAAAAAAATCTAAATATTGAGAAAATCATCTTTAAAGTTGTTCAAATGAAGTTCTTAGCAATGCATATTACTAATCAAAAATTAAGTTTTGATATATTTACAGTAGGAAATTTACAAAATATCTTCATGGAACATGATCTTTACTTAATATCCTAATGATTTTTGGCATAAAAGAAAAATCTATAATTTTAACCCATACAATGTATTGTTGGCTATTGCTACAAATATACCCCAGCGACTTAACACTGCTTTTGTGCTCCAGGGTCACATGTGCCACACATTTAATTCAAAACCTTGAAGATTTTTTAAATCTATTTGAAAGAAGCCTCTTCTGCTCTCCAAGGCTGCATTTATTTGTTCAAAAATACAATAAAAACAGTAATATTATGAAATATTTTTACTATTTAAAACAGCTGTTTTCTCTGTGAATATCTGATGAAATGTAATTTATTTCTGTGATGCGCAGCTGTATTTTCAGCATCATTCCTCCAGTCTTCAGTGTCACATGATCTTCAGAAATCAGTATAATATGCTGATCTGCTGCTCGAGAAACATTTCTGATTATTATCAAGTAATAGAAAGTCACAAAAACAATGGTCCTAAATGTGTGGCGATAAACAAAAATGATATTCAATATGATATTTAACACAGAAATGTTGTTGAATGTGATACGATCAGTGTGCTCTTGTCACGTATGTCCATGCTGAGAGAGGGAGAGAGGATTGAAAGCTCATTTTTAGTATTGTTGCATATTGTCAGGTTTGACACTCTTGTGTGAAGCACCCTTGTTCAGTTTTAACCTTTTGCCCCACCGGTTCTGCGTCAGACGTGAGAGGATAGTGAAAGAGGGTGAACGACAGGAGCGAGGGACGATAACGGGAGAACAGGAGGAAAGCTTTGATCTCTGAAGCAGGACAAATGGAAATGAACTGAAGAGCTTTAACACGAGCTGCCTGAGGTGTGGAGTGAAGCACAGCATCTCTAGACATTACAGACGAGCTCCTGACACAAAGCGCCACTCCTATGTAATAGGTTACAGATTACAAGATTACAAAATGTAATAATAAGTAGTGTTACTATTTCAATTACTATTAAAGTAACTGATTACTTTTATTAATTCCTAACTAATGTTTTCAAATGTTAATCATTTTGAAACA